GTATCTATTTGAATTCATTTTAATAAAATGAAATTTATTCCTGTGATGCAAAGCTGATTTTCAGCATCATTACTCTGGTCTTCAGTGTCACATGATCCTTCAGAAATCATTTTAACATGCTGATTTGCTGCTCAAGAAACATATCTTAATATTAACAATTTTGAAAACAAGCTTTACTACTTCATATTTTTTAGGAAAAAAAAAATAATTTTTATATATATATATATATTTATTTTTTTTCAGTTAATGTTTTTTTTTTAAATTTCAAATAATGATTTTGAAATAATCAGTTTTCCTGGTTTTAGTTAACTATAAAAACCCTGCTAGTGACAATGTGCAAATACAAATATATAATACATAAATAATAACGTACAGTTACAGTTCCAAAAATACAGATATACCAAATCTCAAAGAAAGAAAAAACTGTAATATTAACATTAACACAAAGCATGCCAGATTTACTTTAATTTCAGATTTGGACCCATTTGTACACTTCATGTGCTACTGAAGTCATGGGACTCATAACTCGTTGACTTAATCAAGCATTGACTAGTGGCAGAACTAATCCTGACCGCAGTGCCTCGTGGATTCATGCTTAACTAACTGCAGTGCTGTGTTTTTGCAGCACTTCCCTGTTGTTGGGTGCAGTTAGAGATGCTTTGTGGGTCTGATTAAAATGCCATGATGGTACAGGCTCTGCTCCTGTCTGGTCCAGAGAGGCTTCCAAAAATAGAGCGTGTGCAGGGAGACGAGCAAAGGAACGTGTGGCGGAAGCACAAACAGGTTCCATCCTTTGTTTAATTCTGTCTCCTCCCATCTACATCCCTCTCCGGAGGAGAAAGCAGCCACTTTATGGAAAGCTTCCTTGTTTGTAGGGGACACCGTCGGCGGGCTCTCCCATCGATGTTTTATCTTTACCATGCGGCAGCATGCATTAATGATGACTTCAGTCTGAATGGCTGAAAATAGCATCATGGAAACACAAAAGTTTAAAAGCTCGAGGCCTGTGTGCTAGGCACGCTCAAATAGATCCTGATCGGCTCAGGGGGCATTGTAACTTTGTAAAATGTAATTTTTATTTTATATTTTCTAATATTTTTTATTTTATTTTTAAGCTTTTATTTTTGTTTTTTAATAGCTAAGTCTGTAATCGGTAATCATTGATCATCAAATCACAGTAATAATAAAACTATTTTTTGTGGGTATGTCTATATTTTATTAAGCATTTAATTGATTTTATTAGGCTTTTATCTTATTTTTTAATGACTAAGCCTGAAATCAGTAATCATTGATCATCAAACCACAGTAATAGACATGCCCACAAAATATATTTTATTTTATTTTATTTTGAAGCATTTTGATTTTAGTTTTTTTAATGGTTAAGTCTGTAATCGTTGTCTGTAATTGTAATCTGTAATTGATCATCAAACCACAGTAATAGACATTCACATCACAAAGAACATTTGTAGCTTTTCTAATAAGCTTTTATTTGATTTTTTTTTATATGATATCATTTTTCAAACCACAATAATAGACATACCCACATTTTATTTTATTTTATTTTTAAGCTTTTTGATTTTATTATGCATTTATTTATTTTTATATAATATATTATAATATATATTTTTTCAAACCACGGTAATAGACATACCCACATTTTTAACTCAAAATCAATCAAATTAGTGCAGTACAATTCTCTGGACTCTCTAGGTCAATAATTATCAAAGCAATGTTAAACTTCTGTATCTGGACAGCAATAACAGGGTCATTTAAAAAATATTGTCTTGAACTAGTGCACCCAAAAGCCTATAAATCTTAAAATAAAACTCAAAACTTCTCAAAACTGTGTGAACTCATGCACCGTTTGATTCTAAACAAGCATGCTCAATTTTATGGAGATCAGGCAAAAAAAAGACACTATAATAGTTATAAATAGAGATGCACCGATCGATCGGCCAGGGATCAGAATCGGCAGATTTTCCTCATGATCGGCCCGGATCGGTGACCGGCCGGTCAGTCTCACTTCTTTCCGATTTCGAGCCGATCCGTTCAGTCTCAAACAGCTTGTGAGCCACAAATACCAAAATGAGTGGCTAACTACGCTAAAATGTTCAAATACATACAAAATTGTCCAGTTGTATCCAGTTAAACAGTCAGTTTTGGAACGTTAAATAGTTGAGAAAGAGAACGCATGTTGTGTAACAGTATATTGGTCCGTGGATAAACTCTTAAAGGGACCGCAGTCCAATAGTTATGCTGCTGTCTGTCATGTTAATCAAAGAACAAAAGTGTAAAAAAAAAAAAAAAAAAAAAAAAGTAAATTCATAAATTATGCTGAACGCACTTTTTTTTTTGCAGCTGAAAGTACAATCAAATGAGCCAAAATATTTTGTAAATAGACACACAAAGGACGGGGCATATTTAGAGCTTTATGATAGATGGATCTAAGATCAGTAAAGATCCTAGTCTAAACTACTGTGTTGAAAACACAGAAACAGCCATAATAGACTCAGGGAATGAAGTGAACCGAAAAGCAGGTAAAACTGGTAAAGGTAACAGCACAGGTTTTGTGTGACTGGGGAAAATGTGAAGCTTATCTAGATCAGCCAGTAACAGGAATTTCCCGTCATCATCACATCAACAGAAACTAGATTGTTTTTGAATAATGCGAGGTTTGTGAAGCAGACATGCTTTAGCCAGCAGAACAGAAGTGATTTAACAGGTTACACAAATATGCAGGACATGAGTTAATACACTTGAAGAACCAGATTTAGAAATGTTAATGACTCACATCACAATTTCTGAATGAGACTTTAATAACATGCGTCACGTCATCAGATTTCTCAGCCAATCACATGTACTTGTTAGCTCTGTACATTCCCTAATGCTACATGGGCTTTTTGTTCAAAATAAATTTATACGGGGGAAATAATAGTAATTCTTTCATTTAGCAAGGATGCGTCAGCTTAATCAAAAGTCACAATTTTTGTTTTAGTCAAACTGTGTTCTTTTGAATTTTCTATTCATTGAAGAAACTTGAAAAAGAATAAGCTTCAATATTGACTTTTCTTTTAATAAATGTACTGATACCAAACTTTTGAATGATGGTGTGTAGGCACACACACACGAACAAAACATCATTCCAAGCTTTATGGGTTTTGATAATTTTTCCCTATTTTCTCCAGTGCAAAACGGAAGCTCCAGACACTGTGACATTTCATTTAATCGAGTGTTCCTCTTCTGATCTGCCTGTTTTGCATAATAACTTTCACCATTCAAATTGCTCCGCTCTGATAGGGTCAGGTAGCAGCTCGGCAGCTGTGATCGCATTCATGCAATTAACGTTCCGGCAAACGCTCTGGCATAAACTTCAGCGAACGCCACCTTATCTCCTGCTTTTAAGGTCATGAAGATGAAATATGGTGCCAATTATGCTATAGTTCTTAGAAAGAAAATCGGAATCAGCAGATCACACTAATGAAAAATCTGAATCAGCCAAGAAAATTGCAATCGGTGCATCTCTAGTTATAAAGGTTAAAAACACTAAATGTCTATGATAAACTCCCTGAAATTGCAATTATAACCACTAGATGGTAGCAGAGGACCACTAATGAGCTCATTCAACTCAGTAAAACAGCACTTTTCATAGATTCTGCTTTTGGACTCATATTTAGACATTAAATAAAATCACATTCAGTCAAAGTTTACCACTTCATTTGTACAGATATATATATCCGTTTTGACAGTTTTGCCACATTATGGTTTACGGTTAAACTTGAAAATATCAATTGTTAAAAAGACAAGACATGCAATAAGTATTTTGCTACCTATCATTTATTTGAAATATCTATATCTGCAACAAAATGTGTGTGTGTGTGTGTGTGTAAGCATGCGTTACTTTAAACTTTTCATTTCTGTGTGTGTGTCTCTGTGAGTGTATTCTACATCATGGATGTGTTTGTGTCAACCACGCATTTCGGGTCGACCTGGACCCTAAAAGTGTAGCGCCTTAAAGCGCTTGAACCCCGGTAATCGCTGCTTGCAGCTATATTTTTGATTTGATTTGATTATTTTATTTTATTATTTCCATTGGACAGCATGTATTAATGATGACTTAAGTCTGAATAGCATCATGGAAACACAAAAGTTTTGTTTAAAGCTTTAGTTCTTGTGCGAGCCACGCTCATAAAGATCCTGATGGGCTCGGGGTGCATTTTAACACGCGAGCCGATGTGGGGGCAGTTTGTTATGGCCTACCTGCTGCAGGTTCCTCAGGTTCCTCACTCTCGGGCCTCAGCGGGGTTCAGCGTCGGAGCATGCTGGGTTACAGAGGCCGCTAATTACGGCTGAGTGAGGCCACTGCTGTGGGCTGCCTTGTTTATCTGCCTCCTGCTCCTCCCGCCTGAACTCGCACATCGGTCTGATCAGCAGGAGGAGAGAACAAAACACATGCGCCCTGTCCTCAAATGCAGGTAGTAAACAGCGATAGAAAGGCATCAAGACATGTTCGAGTTCAGTGGTTGTGTAACATCTTGTCTGCTAAGATGCCTTCATCTGGTCAGTTTTTGAAGATGGCATATGTATCCATCACTTCCTGTGAAATCCCATAATCTTGTGCATTGGGCTGCAACAATAAACATTAAAGGGGAAATAACTGATAATAAAAATGAATGGCACCAAATGTCATTATCAGTTAGTCAGATCTTGTTTTTATAATTTAGTGATTTAAACTGTAACATTATATATATTTAAAAAACTGTCCACAGTTGTAAAGCCGTAGGACAATTATATTTTAACCCTTTTATACACAATTTATATCATAACCTTACATACAGACTCGGATACAGACATATATGTATTTTTTTTGCAGTTTTTATTTCATAAAAAAAATAAAACTTTTTTTTTTTATAAATGTAGCATAAGGATAATGCCTTTTTTGTTGCGTTGTTACATTTTATAATTCTGCCAAAAAATAAAATAATACAATAAATAATTAATATTGTGTGTGTGTGCATATATATATATATATATATATATATATATAATGCACACATTGTACAATAAAACACTTTTACATATTTTTTTAGAACAATTGTGCACAACTTTTTTTTACAAATTTTTGTACACTTTTTTTGATCTGATTAATTAAAAAATAATTAGGAAATAATCCTTGAGCATGTTGATCAAAATAATCTTTATTTGCAGCCTTCATTTGCAATCTTTATTTGAGAAACAGCCAGGGTTTGTTGGGTGTCTTAGTCTTGGCTGCAGTATTCTGTTTTATCAGCAGCAGGCTGATTGATGCTGTCTGTTCTGATCTGAATTCACAGGGATAAGTGTAGCTCTTATCTGAGCCGCTGTGTGTCTTACATGAATGGATGAGGTCGCTGGGGTCCTGTCACTCAATCAGATCCACAGATATGATTAAGTCAAGAGGTATGAAGGCAGATCAGTTGATAGTGGTTGAGGCTGAGTGTGGAGGTTTGGCTCTCGTCTCTATTTTGGTAGTCTTTTGATTATAGGCATAAAGTCTGATCCCTTCTGAAGCTTATTCTGGACAAGAAAAACCCATCTTAGGTGGGATGAGACAGTCTGGATGACATGCAAAACATGCAAAGATGGATTTGTTTGTAAGTATTTGTCAGTCATCAAACCACATCAATAGACATGCCCAAAAAGCCCAAAAAATATTTTATTTTATTTATATTTATTTTTTGATTTATGTCTGATTTAAGTCTGTAGTCAATAATCATTGATCATCAAACCACAGTAACAGACATACCCACAAAAAAAGTTTTGTCTATTTATTTATTTAATCTATTTTATTTTATTT